GTGAACAACACCTAGTTAGGACCAGGTGAAGAACACCTGGTTAGGACCAGGGGAACAACACCTGGTTAGGACCAGGGGAACAACACCTGGTTATTACCAGTGGAACAACACCTGGTTAGGACTAGGTGAACAACACCTGGTTAGGACCACGGGAACAACACCTGGTTAGGACCAGGGGAACAACACCTGGTTAAGACCAGGGGAACAGCACCTGGTTAGGACCAGGTGAACAACACCTGATTACGAGTAGGTGATCAACACCTAGTTAGGACCAGGTGAACAATACCTGGTTAGGAGTAGGTGATCAACACATGGTTAGAATCAGGTGATCAACACCTAGTTAGGACCAGGTGATGGACACCTGGTTATAATCATGTGAACGATACCTGGTTATAAACAGGTGTACAACACATGGTTAAGACCAGGAGAACAACACCTGGTTAGGACCAGCGGAGCAGCACCTGGTTAGGAACATGGAAGCAACACCTGGTTAGAACCAGGAGAACAACTGGTTATAAACAGGTGTACAACACATGGTTAAACCAGGAGAACAACACCTGGTTAGGACCAGCGGAGCAGCACCTGGTTAGGAACATGGAAGCAACACCTGGTTAGAACCAGGAGAACAACACCTACTTAGGACCAGCTGAACAACTGGTTAGGACCAGTTGAACAATACCTGGTTAAGATTAGGTGAACAACACCTGGTTAGAATCACGTGATGAACACCTGGTTAGAATCAGGTGATCAACACCTGGTTAGGACCAGGTGAGCGGCACCTGGTTGTAATCAGGTGAACGACACCTGGTTGTAATCAGGTGAACGACACCTGATTGTAATCAGGTGAACGACACCTGATTATAATCATGTGAACAACACCTTATAATCATGTGAATAACACCTGGTTATAAGGAGGTGAGCAACACCTGGTTAGGATTAGGTGAACAACTGGTTAGAATCAGGTGAACAACACATGGTTAGTATAGGGTAAACAACACCTGTTATAATCAGGTGAACAACTGCTTAGGACCAGGTGAACAACACTTGATTAGCACCAGGTGAACAACACCTGGTCATAAACAAGTGAACAACACCTGGTTAAAACCAGGAGAACATTGCACGAAAATTTCCTAGCAGTGAGGGGAGAAACTAAAGATAATTCAGGTGTTGGGTATAGAGGGGAGGGAGAGAAAAGTGAGAGGAAACGAGGAGAAGAAATGAGAGGGTAGAAGGAGAGGAAAATCGGGAGATATGGAAGGAAAACATGAGAGGAAGACGGGATACAAAGGATACTATCGGTAGAAAGGATTGAGACAATAAAAGATAGGAAGAGAGATAATAAGAGGATCCGAGAGGAGCTGGGGAAGAGGAAGACTGATAAAGTAAAGAAGAAGTGTAAGACTGTATAGGAGCTTTAATATAGAAGAGGAAGAGGAGGAAGAAGAGGAAGTAGAGGAAGAGAAATGGGAGGAAGAAGAGAAAGGAGAAGTAGAGGAGGAAAAAGGGGGAAGAGGAGGAGAATGGATAGGAACAGAATGAGGAAAGGACAAGAAAAACCACGAAATAGCAAAAAATACAAGAAAAGAGAAGAATAGAAAAGACAGGAAACAAAAAGAGAATTATAAAAAGAAATGAAAATTAAGTGATATATAAATAAAAGAAAAAGGAAAATAAAGGGAAATACGAAAAGAAAAAAATTGAAGGAAAAAGGAAATGGGAAATAGAAAAGACAGAAAAGGAAACGAAAGAGAAAAGAAAGGAAGAAGAGAAAATGTAAGAAAATTAGCCACACGGAAGACATTAAAGATATTGGATAAATTCCGGAAGTCGTAGAAACTGAAGCAATTGGGGAAGTGAAGACACAGAACAAATTAAAGAAAGTGAGGGAATGAAAGAAATTGTTAAAAAAACTTAAGTGATTTTAATAAATTATATATATAGATGGCCCGTGGCCTGGTACGACAAGCTCTCGTTTCGCACACTGAGGGGTCCGGGTTCGATTCCCGTCAAGGGTAGCAACATTGGGCGTGTTTCCTTACACGAGTTGTCCATGTTCACCCATCAGTAAAATAGGTACCTGGGTGTTAGTCGACTGGTGTGGGTCGCATCCTGGGACAAAACTGACCTAATTTGCACGAAATACCCTACATAACAAGCGGCTTTCTATATAGTAGTATGTCACTGATGTCAGCTAGGCCTGTATACCTTGTACATGTACCTGTAGTAAATAAAGAGATTATTACAGACTGATAGCTAATTATTTCATTAACAATAATATAATGATTTGTATTTATGGACTAAAACTTAGAAACCTTACCTGACCTCCTTAAAATTAACACAATTTTTTTAGCTAAATTTTGTTATATACGTATATCGTTTTTCAATTTAAATGTATTTTATATTAATTTAAATCTATGATATATATATATATATATATATATATATATATATATATATATATATATATATATATATATATATATATATATATATATATATATATATATATATACATATATATATATATATATATATATATATATATACATATATATTCGTTATATGCTCAGATAGATTTCCTCTGATTTATGGCTAAAATAAATTTTCATTCTGCTTATTCATCAAAGTGAATCCTTGCCAAATACCACACACCCGCACAGTTATTTAGTGGAGTCTATCATGCACAGTCTTAAACAACAGTGTTATACAGGACTGCTCATTATGCCAGGGAGTCTCGTGATGTTCTGGTGACGTTCGACCAGACTCTGCGCAATGAACATCGATATAATAAATAATATCATGTTAAGTCCGTCGGGAACTCAGTATAATGCATAATATCATGTTATGTCCGTGTGTATGTGGCAAAATGTACAACATGCTTAGCTACTACTGTATAAAGGTATCGTAAGGTTACAGGTGCACAAGGCTAAGTGACTGCAATCACTGACTACAGTTTGATCGATATATCATTAGTAGGGAGGAAGTAGGTACAGGGGTTCATTCAGGTATCATTCAGGTACAAAGGTATACACAGATAATTAGAACATGGTAATTGCAACTAGTTTAGTGGTTTACAGTATTAGGCTGTTAGTGGTGTTAAAACAAAATATCAAGAATTGTCTAATTATTATCGTCAAGAGTAATCGTCAAGAGAAATCTATAAATAATACAGGCATAGTAATCGACACTGAGAATATTGGTAGGAAGCACTTGGGAACATATGCTGAGACAAATTACAAAAACGGCTCAATACGGTGACTGGAACGATACACAAATAACCCGCACATAGCAGAGAGGAGCTTACGACGACGTTTCGGTCCGACTTGGACCATTTACTTTGTAAATGGTGCGGGTTATTTGTGTATATGCTGAGACCTTCCAGAATGTTTCTGGAATATTGTAGAAGATCCGGGACATGGGTATTGTCAGCCGACGAATGAACGCATTCGTCCCTTCTACTTTATTAATTAAAAGGTTACACATAATAGCTGCGTTCTGTATGTGTGTTATCTACTATTGTAACGTAATCTTTTAAGTCACATGACCTGCTCTCAGCGATTAGAAGAAGCTTAGGGCTGGCTGTGAAACTCCCCTAGTTTGGCTATATCCTGGTATCAGCAAACTTGCAGGCCCAGCCTACCCGACCCCACATAGGGTGGGTAGGGGGTTGGGGGCGTGTGGCGGGTGTGTGGCATTCGGCCGTGACTCTCGCATTTCTGAGAGAGACGCTGGCGGAAGTCACGCTTCTATCCTCAAAGGAAACTTCCCTTCATTTCTCCTGTTGCTACCTTTGCAACATTGCACAGCTCCTGATGACACAGTGAGAAGTGTGAAAGTACTTAAGCTAAAGATTTCCACCCCTGTGGCTTGTCTTGCATATATATATATATATATATATATATATATATATATATATATATATATATATATATATATATATATATATATATATATATATATATATATATATATACATATAAAGAGAGAGAGAGAGATTTTAGGAATAAGCGAAGAAGTTACTAAAGAGAGAATATGCTGATTCAGAATCTTTAGCAAAAACTGATGATCAGGAAATTTTGGTCGAAAGTTTGCCGATGATGATGCGGCATAGAGAAAGTTGACAAAGTAGTGAGCGGGGAGAAAAGTTTGATATTTTCTGGCTAGAGCGAGAGTGGGTGGTGGGTTGCATGGGTTGGAAGTTTGCATGAACTGATATGTATATATATATATATATATATATATATATATATATATATATATATATATATATATATATATATATATATATATATATATATATATGTCGTGCCGAATATGTAAAACTGGTCAATTAGCAAGAACTCATTTAGAATTAAGTCCTTTCTAAAATTTTCTCTTATACGTTTAAAGATATATTTTTTTCATTAATGTTAATGTAAAAATTTTTAATTTTGCACCAAAAGAATCTTAGAAAACTTACCTAACCTTATTATAACAAGATCAATTTATTTTAGCCTAAACCAACTAAATATATTTTAGATTTGTTTACAATAATTTAATACTAAACAAACACAATGAAATATATTTTTATCGTTAGGTTTAGAATGATTTTGGCGAAATTATTTCATACACAAATTTTCGCTTGTCTTATATGGCAAGATGAGCGTTGCTATTTAAGCCAAGATCGCAAGTTCTGCCTATTCGGCACGACATATATATATATATATATATATATATATATATATATATATATATATATATATATATATATATATATATATATATATATATATATATATATATATATATATATATATATGCATATGTAGATACATATTCTTTAAGCAGTGACAAGCACTAAATCTGTATGGGTACACACAGCTCCAAGGGAGGCAATAAGATTCAATCCTGGTAAGGAGAGGACAGGCCTAGTTCCTTGGATCAAGAACCCTTCATTAATATCAAGTGGGATGTAGATGCATAAAAAAATGCTTTGAAAGAGGTGTGCCGGAGGTACTCACCGCCCCGAAGTCGTTGAGTCCGAAGTTCTCCTCTTGGTTGCCCGGAGAGTCCGCGAGAGAAGAGTCTGCCCTGCCGGCAAGGTTGTTAGGTTAGTGATGTTGTTAGTGCTACTCTCTCGTGTTAGTGAGGTGTCTCCTACTTTGTTAGTGATGACATTGTTAGTGCTACTTTCTCGTGTTAGTGACGTGTCTCGTACTTTGTTAGTGATGACGTTGTTTGTGCTACTCTCTTGTGTTAGTGACGTGTCTCGTACTTTGTTAGTGATGATGTTGTTAGTGCTACTCTTCTGTGTTAGTGAGGTTTGTAGTGCTACCTTAGTTGGGACAGTGGTTGTTTTAAGTTATTAGTGACGTGGATGGTGCTCTTTTAGTGACGTTAACGCTGCTTAGTTAGGTCGCTAGTGCTGCACTAGTTAATGAGATGATGTGGTTAGTGCTGTCGTAGTTTGTTAGCGAAGTGGTTATCTTTGCTCTAGTTAGCGCTTTACGTTTCCCTGATTTGTCCTTATTTAGTTGTCCTTTATCTTGTTTGTCACAAGACTAATTTTCTCCTCCAATTTTTAGTGTTCAGGTGAAATTCGTCTAGACTATCAGTCACCTTTTAGTGATTAGTCTAATTTTTTCTAAGCCAGGAAGAGTATAATTACATAGTGCCCAACCTTTTTCAGTCGTGGGATGCATGGCAGCATATATTGTAGGAACGTTTTGCTCAATTTAGTGTTCGACAAAGAGGGAAAAGTTGCGTCAAAGACTGTTGTGCACCTGTGTATTTGCTATGACAGCGTTGGAAGTAGTGTTGTGTTTGCACTCAGTGGCAAACTAGTTTGATTATGGTTAGTACATGGTTAATGCAAAGTTCTTTGTCTCATGGTTTGTGTAGCCTTGGGTAGATGAGGGTTTTTCAACGTCTTTTATCATGTAATTTATGGGTCGTAATTAAACGGTATTCTCCAACATATTTAATTTCCGTTTATTGTCGTGATTAAACAGAAATTTCCAACATATTTTATTTCCGTTTAGTGTCGTAATTAAACAGTACTTTTCAGCATTATTTAATTTCCGTTGTGTGTCTTAGACACTTTTATGGATGCGATGGATAATGTTTTCACAACCTACATTTAGGCAAGTTTACACGAGGTCTCGGTGTTAGATCATCAAGTTTACACGAGGTCTCGGTGTTAGACCATCAAGTTTACACGAGGTCTCGGTGTTAGACCATCATCAAGTTTACACGAGATCTCGGTGTTAAACCATCAAGTTTACACGAGGTCTCGGTGTTAAACCATCATCAAGTTTACACGAGATCTCGGTGTTAAACCATCAAGTTTACACGAGGTCTCGGTGTTAAACCATCATCAAGTTTACACGAGATCTCGGTGTTAAACCATCAAGTTTACACGAGGTCTCGGTGTTAGACCATCATCAAGTTTACACGAGATCTCGGTGTTAAACCATCAAGTTTACTTGAGGTCTCGGTGTTAAACCATCAAGTTTACACGAGGTCTCGGTGTTAAACCATCATCAAGTTTACACGAGGTCTCGGTGTTAAACCATCATCAAGTGAGTAAGTTTATCCAGGTATACACAAATACAGTTACATAGATTATCATACATAGCAGTATATGTGTAGAGAACCAAGGATAACCCCAAAAAAGTCAAAGTGACTTATTTCCACTGGGAGTGAGTGAGTGAGAGAGAGAAAATCATTAACCTGTGTTGTCTCGTTAGAAGCCGCCTGTGACGTGATATATCAAAGCCATAGTGATAGCAAAATAAATATTAAGGCAGAATTTAGGCTCACTGTTTAAATCAAAGAAAATAAAGAAAATCTGGCGTAAATTCGAAATTAAGAAAAGAAAATAGATGAAGTTTATTTCAGGGTGAAAATATTATCTGTTATATACGATTTACCTTTGTTTGCTTTTCTCTGTTTCCTCTCAAATACGATATTTTTAAAAAAAATCCATTTTTATTTTTTGTCTGCGTTTTCACATTTGTCGTTGCCCGAAAAAATGTCTGGAGTAAAATATAATTTTAGGCTTTGTTCTTTGAGTTTTACGTAAAAAAATGTTTACTAAGTTTTTTTTCTACTATTGTGGGAGAGGCTTCGGGGAAGTCGCGGAAGTGTGTATATATACTGTGGCAACTTTCACCTGGATCGAGACCTCAGTCTCTCTAGTAAGAGCTCAGCTCTCTCTCCCTCCCTCCCTCCCTCTCTCTCTCTCTCTCTCTCTCTCTCTCTCTCTTCTCTCTCTCTCTCTCTCTCTTTGATACTTTTTATTAACTTAAATATTTTTTCGTTATCTTCTACCGATAAATGCTAAAAAGGACTTATTAGATATCTTCGTGACTGGTGTATAGTTATCGCCGTAATTGTGATTATTACATAATTCCTGACTATTGCACAGTTAGTTAATATCGCTAGCATAGTCTCTTCTAGGGATTTCTGTGTCTACCAGTAGTCCTTACAATGAATGCCGTGCCGTTGCATGCTACACCAATATTCACTAAAAGAATCTTGCAACCCGTGTCTTCCCTCACCACTTTGCGGTTGCCAAAATCTGTTTCGTAAATGCGGTCGCCTGCATAACAGAGCACAGCACCATTTTTGCATCTGCAGCAAAACAAAAGGCGTCTATAGATGAGTAAGACACAGGTGCAGCAGTTAAGTTTGTTCATAACCGAAACGTTTCGCCTTCACAGTAGGCTTCTTCAGTAGCATGTAGAGAGGTGGCTAAATAAGAAGCGTTCTCCTCATGGGTCTTTCTTGGAAATTATTTTATCAACGATCACCCACACATTTCTACGAGAGAATTTCTATTCTCTTCACATGGTCTTAGAAACCATTTGAGAAATACAATCTCTGAACACGGGAAAAGGATTATATATATTTCTGGTCATCTGAAGACTTCACAATTTTCGCTGAGGACATAAGAATTTTCTGCTCGACTGGTGCAGGCAGTAATAAGGCGGGAGAGAATGTATCTGGCAGGGGAAGAGACCGTAACATTTAAGTGAGAGGGCACTTCACGCCGGCTCGGCCAGTGGAAACATTAACTGCATAAACCTGGAGAAACTCGCTGGCCTTCACACCGTCACACCTGTGTCCACACATTCCCAGCCCGGGACCTGTAGCAAGCATAGTCTCGGGCTAGTGCCATGTAGCACAGTCTCGGGTTAGTGCCCTGTAGTAAGCATAGTCTCGAGCTATTGCCCTCTAGGAAATGTAGTCTTGGACTAGTACCCTATATCAAACATAGTCTCGAACTAGTACCAGACAAGCACAGTCTAGGGCTAGTACCCTATAGCAGGCATAGTCTCGGACTAGTGCCTTGTAGCAAGCATAGTCTCGGACTAGTGCCCTATAGCAAGCATAGTTTCGGGCTAGTACCCTGTAGCAAGCACAATCTCAGGCTAGTGCCTTGTAGCAAGCATATGCTTGAACTAGTCCCCTGTAGCAAGCATAGCCTTGGACTAGTACCCTGTAGCAAGCATATTCTTGGACTAGCGCCATGTAACAAGCACAGTCTCGGCTACTGCCCTGTAGCAAGCTCAGTCTCGGGCTAGTGTCCTGTCGCAAGCAAAGTCTCTAACTAGCGTCCTGTAGCCAGCATAGTCTTTGTCTCGTGTAATGGAATAAGCATAGTCTGTCTCATGCCCTGGAGTGAGCATAGTCTGTCTCGCGCTCTGTAGCCAGCATAGTCTATCTCGTCGTCTGAAGTGAGCCTAATCTTTCTTGTGCCCTTGAGTGAGCACAGTTTTTTACCCGGGCCCTGAAGTGAGCATAATCTATCACATGGGTCATGTAACGAGCTAATACACAAATAACCCGCACATAAAAGACAGAAGCTTACGACGACGTTTCGGTCCGACTTGGACCATTGACAAAGTCACACTAACAGAGGAGGAGCAGGACGGCTATATATAGGCAGGAAGAGGTGGAGGTAGTAGTAGTGGTAGTAGTAGTACTAGTAGTAGTAGTACAAGAATTGTATATAATACCGACAGGATGAAATGACACATGCACAACACCCGGGCATCCCCACCGTAGACGTTTCGCCATCCAGCCAGCCACTGGATGGCGAAAGGTCCACAACAAAAACAACCAGACGCCGCACATGTGCCTCTACCACAGGATCTCTGTAACCTTCTCTCTACCATTGCCTTTGACACTGCTCGCCTGAATGCGCAAATTCATTCTTCCAAACTACAAAATAAACTTCAACGTCTCATCTCAGCTAGCCCTTGGTCTAAATTCTCCCTCACTGACTGTGTTACTAATCTGTCTTCTGTCTCACTCTCTCAGTATGAGCTTGAACTTCTTGGTTTTGGTCTTTCCTTTGCCACTTCGCCTACTCCTCGCGCTGGTATTTCCCTGATTAGCTCTTTTGATTCCTTTCGTCAATCTCGCTTCCGTAATCTTCCTGACTTGTCCACTTTTCGTGGTGCTCTCCTTCCTGCTCTTGTTAGTCTGTTTTCCAAGAATCACCACCTTCCACGCCGTTACCAACTTGCCCTTTCTTCTCTTAAATCTAACACTAACATTGTCATACTATCTTCTGACAAAGGTAATTCGGTAGTTATCCTTGATCGCGAGGATTACCTCCGTAAAGCTGATGTCTTGCTCTCTGACTCACGCACCTACACTCCTCTCGTTTCCAACCCTCTTGATCGCATCAAGAGAACTTTCAACAAAAAAACTAAGGACTCTCTCCGACCTCTGTCCTCCTGACTTTGACCTTGTTCAACGGTTTCGTGTCATCTGTCCCTCTCTTCCCTATTTCTATGGCCTTCCCAAAAACTCATAAACCTGATATTCCTCTTCGTCCTATCATATCCTCTAGAGGTTCTGTCTCTTATTCTCTTGCTTCTTGGCTGGCCAAAACCCTCACTCCCTTTCTTGGTACTTTTTCTCCTGCCCACCTCCGTCACTCTCAAGACTTCATTGAACGGGTTCTCGCTCTCTCCCAACCTTTAAGATGCTTAGTCTTGACGTTGAGTCCCTCTTCACCAATGTCCCTCTTGATGATGTCCTTTATTTTCTTAGAGAGAAGGCCCATGAAGGGTTTC